CCCGCCGGGCGCCCACAGCCTCTTCCATGCCCCGCCGGGCACCCACAGCCTCTTCCATGCGCCGCCGGGCACCCACAGCCTCTTCCATGCCCCGCCGGGCACCCACAGCCTCTTCCATGCCCCGCCGGGCACCCACAGCCTCTTCCATGCCCCGCCGGGCACCCACAGCCTCTTCCATGCCCCGCCGGGCACCCACAGCCTCTTCCATGCCCCGCCGGGCACCCACAGCCTCTTCCATGCCCCGCCGGGCACCCACAGCCTCTTCCATGCCCCGCCGGGCACCCACAGCCTCTTCCATGCCCCGCCGGGCACCCACAGCCTCTTCCATGCCCCGCCGGGCACCCACAGCCTCTTCCATGCCCCGCCGGGCACCCACAGCCTCTTCCATGCCCCGCCGGGCACCCACAGCCTCTTCCATGCCCCGCCGGGCACCCACAGCCTCTTCCATGCCCCGCCGGGCACCCACAGCCTCTTCCATGCCCCGCCGGGCACCCACAGCCTCTTCCATGCCCCGCCGGGCACCCACAGCCTCTTCCATGCCCCGCCGGGCACCCACAGCCTCTTCCATGCCCCGCCGGGCACCCACAGCCTCTTCCATGCCCCGCCGGGCGCCCTCGGCCTCTTCCATGCCCCGCCGGGCGCCCTCGGCCTCTTCCATGCCCCGCCGGGCGCCCTCGGCCTCTTCCATGCCCAGAGGAGCCGAGCGCTGGCAGGGCCCTCGCAGTCACGTCCAGCCCCCTGCCCTCACAGCAGGACCAGGCCCCACCTAGACCAGACCATCTCTGAGAGATGCTTGTCCAACTGCTTTGCATGTCTCCAGTGCTGGAGATTCCACAACCCCCCAGGCAACTTATTCCAGTGTTTAGCCACCCGGACAGGCGGGACGTTTTTCCTGATGTCCAGCCTAATCCTCCCTTGCTGCAGTTTGAGCCCCTTGCTGCTTGTCCTGTCCTCAGAGGCCAAGGAGAATAGTTTCCCCTCCTCCTTGTCCCTTTTAGACACTTGAGAGCTGCTCTCATGTCCCCCCTCAGTCTTCTCCTTTCCAGACTAAACACGCCCAGTTCTTTCAGTCTTTCCTCATGGGTCTCAGTTTCTAAACCTTTAATCAGTTTTGTTCCTCTTCTCTGGACCCTCTCCAGTGTGTTCACAGCTTTCTTGAAGCGTGGCACCCAGAGCTGGGCACAATCCTCCAGCTGCGGCCTCGGCAGTGTGGAGTGAGAGGAAGAATGACTCCTGCTAACTCAGCCCAGGGTGATGGGTGGTTTTTTACAACAGCATCACACTGACTCGTGTTTAGCTTGTGGGCCGCTGACCCCGAGATCCCTCCTTCCTGCGCAGTCAGGCCCCATTCTGGGCGTGGGATGGGTGTTTCTTCCTGCGTAGAGCACTTTGCATCTGTCCAGGTTGACTTTCCTCCTGTTTCCCTCAGACCAGTTCCGCAGTTTCTCCAGATCATTTAAAATGATGCCTCTGCCCCTCAAAGCACTTGCAGCCCCTCCCAGCTTGGGGTCATCCACAAACGTAGCACGTGTCCTCTCTGTGCCGGCATCTAAATCCCTGGTGAAGAGATCGAAGAGGACCGAGCCCTGCAGAACCCCACTTGCTCTGCCCTTTCAGCATCACCCTGACCCACTGCCAGTTACTCTTTGGGAATGGTTATCCTGCTAGTCATGCACCCACCGTACAGGAGCCTCAGCCAGACTGTAGCACATGCCTTACTAAAGTCTAGCTATACCACGTCTACCTCTTCCCCCTTATCCACCAGGCTTATTACCCTGCCAAAGGAAGCCCTTGGATTGGTTTGCACTTTGCAGGGTTTCTTCCTTACAGATCCATGCTGACTGTTTCTTTTCTTCTTACCTTCCTGAGGCTGACAAACTGATCCCTGAGTGAATTGCTCCAGTCTCTCCTGGTACAGAAGTCAGGCGGACTAGTCTCATGCCCTAGTCTTATTTCCCTTCATATAGATGGGCACCGTCTGTTGCTTTTCCACTGCTCTGGAATCGCACCCGTCTTCCACAGACAGTGGCTAAAGGCTCAGATACTGCCTCAGTCAGCTCGGGAGTGTTCGGGGCAGGTTAGCAGGCCCTGGTGTCAAGGCCAGGCCCTGCCTGTCACGGGGCCGCTTGCTGCAGGGCTGGGCGCTCAGGACTGCGCGTGGTGCAGAGCAGAGCCCCTTGTGCCCGTAGCTCACCAAAGGAGGGAGTGCGGGCAGGTGGGGGCTTTGCTCTGGGCAGCGCGACTGTGGGGAGCAGTGGCCGGGGCGCCGGGCTCTCCTGCAGCAAGAGCAGCCAGGGTAGGACGCTGCCCCAGCTGGTTCCTTTGGCAGCGATGAGCCAGCAGGCTGCGCTGGCCAGCGTCTGGTGCATGGGGGCTGCTCTGGGGGCGTCTCTCACTTTCCTGTGGAGAGGGAGCTTTTTGGTGGCTGTAGGCACCTCCCAGGGTAGCCTTTGGGGAGAGGGGTTGGCAGTCAGTCAGGAGAGAGCCCCAGCTCCCAAGCCCTCTTGCCCCTTTTCCCCCTCCGCAGCTAGTCCCATTGGGCTGAAGGCGTCTGGCTGGAGGTGCCGTGAGGCTCCTGGGGGCTGCGGCAAGCACGGGGCCCGACAGGCGTGCCCACCTCGATGGAGGTGTGTCTCGACCGAGTGCCCAGCACAGCTCTCCAGGGAGTCAGCCTGCACCTGGCAGCCTCAGGCGATGTGCAGCCACTGGCAGAAATGCCTCCCCTT